CAACACAGAAAGAAAGACTTTCCACTTATTTTTACGGTATTCCCGCTTATATTGTCGCGCGTTCTTTATACAAATGCGACAATAGAATCCGGAAAAGGTGTTCGATTTCCACGTTTTCAGTCAGCACGTTTCTAATTATAATTTTATATTTTTACACGACATTCTATCCTCTTCGGGAGAAACGTGTATAAATATCCCCACAATTCCGAACGCTCGCAATGCGCTTCCCGCTTACGTTCCCGCGCGCGACGTAAATAATATACATTTATAACTGTATCTCCACAACGCGAAGGAATTACGCAATAAGAGATATATCGCCGTACAAGAATGCAGACGCGGGCATATTATCGCCCGTTGTCCGTCGGGTTTGCGGTTCGATCCGATACCGCCGTCATTTATCAGTATCGACGTTACGGTACGCGACGTGGCGATACGTGATTTTATTTTACCGGAGCGTTTAACGAGAGAAAGGCGATCACATTTCATCTCATTAGCCCGGCACGGCACGGTTACATCAATGTATAACTATCGCGAATACTCGTCAATACAAGAGCCCAGAAAGCGGTTCCAGGCACGTTAATTAGCGCCGCGCGCGCGCGCGCGCGCCTTTTTTTCGTTCCCGTGAAAGTTTCCTGGATGAAGCCGCGGCCGCCTCTCAGGACGGACGCGACATAAAGCGTATAATTTTCGACCTCCTAATCACGCGGACGCGGATTCGGACAGTCATGACCTTAATGCTCTCTCTCGCATCTGCCGAACGATTTCCCACCGCAAAATAGCGACGCTATCGATCATATCGAGCTCATTAGGCATATTTGCTAATCCACACACGCAACATTCCCTTCCTCCCTCCCCCCCCGTATACACGTTAGGAATGATGAATCGATCGAGTAGCCTCGATCTCGTGAAAACGGCAGACCTAAAACGAACGCGCGACGGCGCGGCGGCCAATCTTCTTCCCGATTGGAAGGATGGTTAAAATTGACGTTCGGCCTGACGCGCGCGCGGTCGGCCGCTTAAAAAGCAAGCGTTGTTGATTGCGCGCCGGTGTTGTCCCGCTTCTTCGGATTACAAATCCAACGGGTTCACAGCGAGTGCAACGTTCCGGGCATCAATTTTCAATTAAGCGAAATCTCGCTGATCTCGCGAAAAAGGAAAAGTTGAAGTTTCTGAACAGTGATAACTATTTATCGTCACTGAATAATGGCCGTTTCTCTCGATAATTGCAATTACAGTGAAACACTTGTTATATCAATAACTTTTTTGTTGATTCGCGTGCAAGGTTTCCTAAATCGTCAGCTTAATTAATCAGCTGATCGTAATTAGGATGTACATCATTCGCCGAGCGGCAGAATGCACGCCCGCGGAATGTGCGATCGACGTGAGCATGTATATCCGAAGTGACGCGACGCGAGAAACGTTGATTGTCCCTCGATCGAGGAATTCAGTACCGTTCGTGAGCCTTTTTTCATCCCTCCTTTATCGTATATATGTCGCACGTCGATCTAAACGACAGGGCGGTGGTTTGCAACGGGGAAGGGGGAGGGGACTGGGGAGACAATCTAGCAAAGAAATCGGAGAAACTCGCTCGCGGTGATTTCTTCTGCGCCGCGACGCTCGCGTAGGAAAGATGTAGAACAATAATGGCAAGGGCTCGTGATATAACCGTATTTGTGACACGGAGCGACTCGCAGTCTGGATAAAATCGCCAGTTTTTCTCGCCCTGGTGGTCGTGATTAAGATTCCCAGCATATATCCGCCTTGTTCTCGATTTCCTAGAAGCCTCGCACTTGGTCCCTGCATCGTGTCCGCTTATCGTTCCCCGTGTCGTACCTGTACACAGGCGTTTATATATGAAAAGAAATCTCTGTACCATATCGTCAAATAAATAGGAATCATTTGCCCTCGTCTGCTCTCAAGCGGAATTGAAATTTCTATTTCTGCATTTAATAGATTACTACGATTTCTATTAAGTCGAAAAGAAAGGAAAGTATCATAAGTATATTTATGATTTGGCAAATGCGTGATTTCTAAAACCTAAATATTCTAAAATTTGAAATTATATCTGAATACCCCAAATTTTTTTTGTAATTACATGACAAAAGTAATGTCTATAAAAAAATTTAGACAACTTAATGACACAATCAGGTGCTAAAAATAGCACTACCTGCTGCTAGAAATAAAATTAATTTTGTTCAAAAAGATTTCATTCACACAATCAAATTATTATATATTAAATGCATTTGTATACGTATAAAAAAATATCTATACGATCTAATGAAGTGCGTGATTCTTAAAAACTAAATACTCCAAAATTTAGAGACAATTGTATAAGAAATAAGAGAGTTAAAAAGTTTATTTTCCATTTAACGGAGCAGAATCGGTGCTAAAGGCGAAAGCAACTGTTTCGAAAAATTCCACATTCAATCAAGTTACTGCCTTTCTCGTCGAAGGAAGGTCTCGCGACTTTCTTCTGAAGCACTTCGCGCACATCGATAGGCGTATCTACTTTAAGAAGCAACTTTAAACTGCAGCCGCCCATGTTCATCGTGGAGAATAACGCGAGTAATTACGCGATCGGCGGGATCCATTAGAGCCTCTCTCGCTCGTCTTTATCGATGACATAAGAGAACTTTTATAGCGCGAGGATTCCTGCCGTCATCCTTTACGCGCGTCCGCTTCGCGCGACCATCCACTCGCCTCCCATTGAAAACCGTGTTACATGCCGACCTGGTGCGGCGACGCGACGCGACGCGGCGTGCGAGGTAAATTGCGCCCGCTTCACGGAACGGAGCTACAAATGAAGACCGATGAAGAAAATTCGCTGCGAGCCTATATAAGAGATAGAATCTTGCCGAGGAGATCGTAGAGCCGCCACTTGTTCGTAATTTGCCGAACACGCGCGCGGTGCAGAGGTGCCGCGCGCGATATCGCCGATCATTTTCACCGTGGGTACCGTTTAATGGAGCACACATTGGAGCTGGAGTTACAGCGCGACAATGCGGCGTACATGCAATACGCGTTATATTTCGACGAGTCATCGTCATCCGCCTCTCCTTTCGAGATTGGCGAGAGTGAGCAGCGCGAATGTTGAAGTACGTACGGGATAGTAATTCCGTTACCTGAAAGGGTAGATTAATATCTTCCTGTTGTTCTAACCGCGAAACATTGCGCGTACGCCGACCTTATAAATTTGGAAAAAAAAAGCACTTTTTTCCTGTTTGTTCACTTTTATCGTGCCTTTCGGATTGATCGGATTTCTTCACGACGTGGACATTACATATGTAATTGCAGTAAAAGGCAATCCTTAATTTAATAACTATTTTATTTTTTTCATCAATTTTTCGTCTGATATTTTTCGAATTGATATTTTTTTTATAACCTTCATAAAATATTCGTTTTTATTATTGTACATACAATAAAACATTTTACACAAATAAAACAATTGCAATTTTTAAACTCGATTTTTATTTTGCGGATTATCTTTTGCAGTAAAAATATGATATCATGATCAAATATCATTATCTGACAGATAGAGACACTGACATGTTTGGCAATATACATAACGTAAACCAACGAAAAGCCATTGATTCGTAAAATCACGTACATCAATATTCTTTATACATTAACGGCGGTTGTTTTTATGATTTTGCATAGACCTCGCAGATGTGTACGCGTAATCAAAATAAACGATCGAATTTCGTGCAACAAAAATCAAAATCAATACGAACCAAGTAGTAGACTCGTACGCCTCGTTATTATTAACTAACTGTTACGCGGTCGTTATGCAAAAATGCGACTGCGTATCATTCAATAATAAATATGAATAAGAATGTGTAAATATTCAATAGACGTGTAATTTATATGCCGTGCCTATAGCAGCTAATTGCGGATGATGTTTCGCTAATGGCGGCGCGGTTATGGCTCACTGTTTTCCTCTCATTATCGTCCTAAATACAGTACACAAAATCATCACGCAGGACGTCGGGGATTGCTGCCCGTCACGGATCCGTTATGTACCGGTAACCGAGGCAATTTTTGCTCCCTCCCCCCCTCCCCCTCCCCTCGTGGACACGGCAACCTTTTACTTCTCGTTGTCGACCTCCGGCCTTTACCTATTTACCACCTATCACCGCGCGCGTCGTGCAGCCGCCCCCTCCCCCCGCGAAACTAATTAACGATTATCGAATCAGATTCCATCCGTGTTAACTTTGACTTCAGTTTTCAGCGTTTCCTCGTACGCATATTATAATATCTCCGTTTCATACGAATACGTATGCATAAAAACGTTTGCATTTGCATCAGTTTACATCTAATTTGTGACTTTACAGCTTTAACTTAGCAGTTGTATTCTTAGGTTTTTAGTTTCACACTGCACACACGCTTTGAAACGACATTCTGAAATGGACCGCATCGATCTGATAATAAATGAACTATCGTCTTCGAAACAATCGCTTTCGCGTACTTCTTCCACTTGTCATGGTTCTAAACTTGACTCGACTGTAAGGAGGACGAGTCCATGCAGAAATCTATGATCGATGCCCCGCAATTCAAGAGATTTTGTATGTCGTGTCGTCGTATTCTTAATATAATGGACAATTTTTTATCATTGTCTTTAAAATGTGCGAATTAAAAGAAATCAGCGCATTCTCTTCTACGAGATATAATTTCTGTCTAAAGATGAGGATTTAATTTTTATTTTGCTAAAAGTTTAACCTTCTTTCGACTTAATATTTCATGATAATCCATCAAGAAGTACTCTAAGTATTCGAAATGTATTCAGCATGAAATTATAATCAGCAAACTGCTTATGCGGAATTTTCGCAAATTCCTTTTGCGAATAATAAGAATTTGTTGATTCCTGATTCAACGATTTAGATTCGCGCTGATCAGATAAAATCGAGGATTACTTGCGAAGGAATAATTTCGACCGCGTTAAGAGGAGGCTGCCGGTCCGGCGATAGATATCACACTGATTGAAACGTCGTTTCTGATTTCAGACGAACATGCACGCGTCGTTCCCGTACGACGGTGGACGCAGTAGTGGTGGCGGCGGCGGCGGCGGAGGCGGCGGCGGCGGCGGTGGCGGCGGTGGAAGGGGCGTCGAGTATGGCGCCGTACGCCGTCCTGACGCCCTCCTACCGCCTCCGGGCCTCGACCAGACCGACCTCGTTCTGCACAGCAGCCTCGTTGACGACCCCCAGGTGAGCGACGATGTACGTAATCGCAACTTATTTTCTCTATTATCATCCCTCGACGCGTCTCTGCCGACGACCGATGTTCCCGCCCGCCGAGGATGTTTCCGCAAACGGAGGTGTTACGATTGCCGAAGATATACTCCGAAATTCCGCACGATCTTGCGCGGGCCGCTTTTCGATCACAGCCCCGACTCGCGCACGACGTTTGAAGCGTCTCTCGTCATTTTTGAAGATATAATATAAATAATAATTGATTAAGCGAAATGACAAGCAGCAAAACGTCGTATTTTTTTTTAATTTTAAGTGGAATTTATTTTAGCAGATTCTAGACAATTATCAAGATGTAAAATTGGAGAAAGTCGAAAAAAAAGCTAATGTTTTTTTTAGCTCTTCGAATTATCTATCTTTATCGTGATTAATTCGCGAAATGAATGTTTCTCGATTCCTTCTGGATTAATTTGTCGTTTTCACAAAACAGCAGGCAGAAGCATTTATGTTAACATCAAAAGTTTCAGCGTTCGTTAAATAGAATGTCAGACGCTTGTTACAATGCTGGACGGAATGCTGCGAAACATACCGTACTTTGCTGTGGTTGAAAACATTTTTCTTTGTCTTGAACAAGCACGTACCGGGTAGTCGATTAGGTTGTTGTGCGCAAAAATATTCGTGAGAAAGAAATAACTAATGTATTTCTCGATATAATAATGTAAAATATTTTTATATCTATTTTTTGATATAGGCAGGTTTTTGAAACGTCTACATAACGAAAATATATTTTGGATGCATAAACTGCGCACTTTCTCCGAATCGCAGATCAATCATTTCCAGTCAATCAACTCTTCTCTGGGTCATAAATCAATCAATCAATCAATTCTTCTTGAATTGTACAGCGTTCAATGTTAAATAGCATCATGCTGTGATGTAAGGGATTTAATATTAAAGAATTCTCTGAAAAATTAAATTAGATGGTAGAATTAAATATATAGACTCATTAATTTTACAGGTAGATAAGTTATTCCTTTGAAAAGAATTACACAACATATTCATATATTTAATATAAAACGATTTAATATCACATTGAAATGTTTCATTTCACGTAGAGGCAATGTACGAGTTTTATCCATCTTTTTATTTTAAAGACTTATTTCAAAATTAGAATATTTATAGATAAAAGAAAGTGTTAACTTAATATTAGATTCAATACGAATTATTTTTTTGTGTTTTAGAACACAAATGTGGACGATGGAGGGTTCATGAACGACCTGCCGCTATTAAAAAGTAAGTAAAAATACTTATCTCCGTATATTCCATCTTTGTCTGCGGATCTCGTTCAGTCGCGAAATTATTAGCGATCGCGCCGGTTACTTGTCGAAAGTTCAGGAGACAAGAGGATGCTGATGCTGCTTTACGCTGCAGATGCAGATCTCGCGACAACAACAGAGAGGTCTAACGTACCTCTGGCAGGGATACCCTGCGCGTTTCGACCTGTAATTTTACGCCGCGCGTAACACAAAGCCAGTGTCCTGCCCCGATATCGCGGGGATCGTTCGATTCGGAATTTATTCCACGGGGGTAAATTTACGCGTTGCATAAAGTGCAACGCACGCCGCCTCGAAATAGCGTGGCGCCGGCATAATCCAGACATAAAGCGGCCACTGCGCGACCGGAAATATAAAGTAACCGCACCAGCCGGGACTTGTCGCCCTTAATTAGAATTTATCTCTCTCTCGCTCTCCGTCGTGTCAAGGGCAAGTGATCAAATTTCTAACCGTTTGTGAAAATAAACCTACGGTCGTCTCTTTTTTTTCTCTTCCTCCCTCTTACGCGTGTAAAAGCAACGCTCCGGTGGGTTCTTATGCGAGCGGCCGTTTCTCTCGTAATATCGATCGACCGCAAAAGAGATCGTAAGAATTCGCGAATAGCAGAATTATCGAAGAGCGTCGCATTGAATCGCAACGCGATGAATTATCTACGGATTCGCGTGCACGAGTTCAGGTTTTAACTCCCGGTTCTTCTTTCTCGGAATGTTTTTTGTGTAAGATTATCCTCTATACCTATACTTAAAGATGAATCATCGAGATATAAATCTGAATAGCGAGTGTCTAATTTTTTTCTAATATCACGTTGCAAAATATGTATAATACCATGTAATAAAATGGAATTCTTACTCGCTCCTCACGAAACTTATCTGTGGATGAATATTTTTATTTAATTCTCTGTCGTTATACCGGAGGAATAAACAGCGTTCTCAGTGCGATTTAGTCATTTCTGAAATTACATTTCTTTAAACTTGAATATATTACTAAAATAATTTTTACTTTATTTTTGTTCATCTGTCTTTGTCTGAAATATCGATTTCACATGCTTTGAGCTAAAAGATATAATATGCTTTCAGTTCAAAAATATAGCGTGACACAAAGTTACAGATCCCGATGTGGCAGGAAAGATATCTAACCAAAAATAATAATAGCGACCATAGGCTTAAATTTCTGTCGATCCAAATGTGTTTTGATGACAACACATTGCGCGAATAAAATTCCGCACGTAAGACTCCGCACGACCGCGACGCGTTACTTCGCGATTGCGTAACTTCGAGCGAATTTCGCGGAGAGGGAGGATGTGTTACGGATCGCGGTGGAGGCAGATTATAAGGAAACTTGTACCATGCCCAATTCCGCGTGCGGAGTACGCCTCTCGTATCGTTGGCTCGTGCCAGTGCGAGATCGAATTGCGGCCAGCGTCTTGCGAAAGTATCACGCTCACCCGAGAGCAAGACCCGATCCGCGTCCGATCAATGAACTGAGCGGAGAGGACTCCCGAGAGTTTGTCCTGGAGGTTACACCTATGTGGCTGAAATATATGTAACTTTCGATCTATGAATTAATTACGAAATCGTACCGCGCCGCCCAATATGGTAGCGGCAATTTTCGTCCGCTCCGGCCGCGAGGAGAGTCAAAAGTGCCGCGCGCTTTCTCCCGCGCGAGCGCGCACGTTAGAAACCAAAGTGAGAGGAACGTGATTTGGTTTAACTTTATCCTGACGCCCCAATTTTTAGAACATTTCATGGCGGAGGTGGCCAGGATTTTTTTCATGTCCGTGAAACTATCTCCGCAGTAAATGCAAGGAGAGATAAATCAATATTTTGTGAAAGCTCTGCGATTGCGTTAATGCAAACACTAGAATTATTAACGTAGATCTGTTTCTACTAAAATATGTGTGCTATGTATAGTTTTTTTTTTAAAGGGAAAGGTAGGGAAAAAGTAAATTGATTAATTTATTTATATATTGCAACAAAAGAGTTACGAAAAATTTTAGAGGATATGCCGTTGTTTGGTAAAAAAAAATTACAAAACAGTCATTTCGATTGCTTTAGTATAGTTCGAGTATTAAACTCGGTAGAGCGGGGATCTCCGGTTACATCGATACTGCGATTTAGCGGCGTCATTTAGGAAATGTATGATTGTAGGAAACAACGAGACTTTTAGAGCCCACATACGCGTACGGCCCACAAACGTATTACGCGACGACCCTCGTTTTCAACGTTTAATTCCTCTCGCCTTCTCCGGATCGTCGGTGTCGCACAATGGCCGAGAACCCGGGGACGCGTGGAATCGTGCGTGTACGCGCTGCGAGAGGAGGTGTGAAGGCGACAAGGAAGAAAGAAAGAAAAAAAAAAGAAATACAGTGCGTGCCCGCGGGCGGATCGGATTTCGCTTATTGTCATTGTAATTTCTTGGCGGGGTGTAGTTTTCGGGGCGTTCCTCACCACAGGGGTATTACCTACAGATGGCTGTTTGTTCGAATGTCACCGAGGGTTATTATATGCCTCGTTACTCGTCCTGCGACGGCTTATTTGGCCCCGGTCCTTTTCTCTATTCCGTTCCTCTTTCTCGTTCTCCGCAACCGTTCCCTCTGTCTTTCTTCTTCTTCGCTCTCTCTCTCTCTCTCTCTCTCTCTCTCTCTCTCTCTCTCTCTCTCTCTCTCTCTCCACGTCTCGCGTGTTCTTCTTTTTCCTCCCTGTGAATCTTTTCATTTTTTTTCCAAAACCGGTACGAAGTACGCGTGAGATTCAACGTTGGATACAATATTATTTAAGTATCTAAACTGCATATAAAATATTAAACATACGTTTTGATTCTTGTCTAATAATTTATATCGTAGGCAAGTAACGTAATTTGCAATGTTTCTTCTTTTAACTTTGCTCATTCGAAATATCCTCAATTTTTTCGTGGAATCGGATTTATCTAAAAACTCATTTGTGGTAACTTTCTATAGGTGACAGGATGTAAGTCTCGTACACTTGCTCTCGATCGCGTATCGTTCCGAATCGGCGACAGTTACGGCGACGATATATATAATATATATCTATATATCGATGTATAGCTGAACGCGTTCCGCTTCTTGGAAGCCGGTTATACAATTATCGCGGCTTACCTTGGCTCCGTCACTCGACGACGACGATGACGGCGACGTGCTCCAGTTTAGCTTCGCCACGAAGTATCGAGGACGAACGGATTCTTTCGCTAACGATGACGCTCTACGAAATTTCGTATCGTACAGCTACAACAGTTGAACCAGTTAGCAACGAGTTTTCGATCTGCGAATCATCGTTTTGGTTACGTACATACGTTTATTTACGTACGTGCCTTGAAAAACAGTCGATCGTGCGGCAGCGAAACAATTCGAAGGCCGATATTTGTTTTTGAGAAAAAAAGATTTCGCGAATCGTGTTGTAATTCGAAAAAAGTGAGCTAAGATTAACACACTAGTTTTGGAAAAAAAATATTCACGACCGTACTTTTATCTCGAAAATTATTACTTTCGATTTATGAATGCGCATCCGAAAGATCTTTTCGCTATGTATTTGCTAATTTACTTAAGGCAACACGTGTTCTACAAAGCGAATTTGCACGGATTAATTTATTATCCACGCAGCACAGCCGTGAGAAGAATCAAAAGTAATTAATCATTCGAAGAAGGCCAGCTAACGACACAGAGTCATACGACTTTAATGGTTCTTTTGATCTTTTCTATATTCAATATCTCCACTTTGAGCACTTCTCGCTGAGCTAGCGGATATTAATCGTCGCGTTCTTTATTCGCACATTCGATTTTACCTGCGACGGCAGATTGGCAGATTACGATAATAATCTACACCCCTCGCGCATTTGCCGGAAATATTGCGTTTTAACTAAACATACGCTCGTGAAAAGTGAGTTTAATTCAAATCTAGATCACGTGGCACAGCGCCGAGAGAAAAATACGCTGATCGCTTCCAAACCTTCGGAAGTGTCGAGGAGGTGTGAATGCCACTCTTATTATTGTTCAGCAGGCGAGACCCTCGAATGGAGGGCGCGTCCACCATCTTTGTATAGAGGCAGCTAAACTCCTAAAATCATCCCCCTAATGAAATTAACGATCGCCACGGTTGCTCGTAGTTGCCCCGGGGGCCAGGTGGATCCCTGCCTGGCGGAAGCCCTCACGGCGTGCGGGAGCCCCTTCGCGACCCCCGAAAAGTCACACCCCAGTCACAGCAGCCTAACCAATCAAGGTCGAGAAGTAAGCGAAGTCGTTGGATACGCGTCGATTGGTTAGGTTTCCGGCGCGTTGATTGCCCAGGAAATTATTTGTGCGTGTCCAGGACGCACGTGTTGAAAGAGCGCGACCGGGGCTGGTACGCGCTCAAGGCTATTCGCAGATGGAGATATTTCGCGTAGTGGCAGTCACGCGTGCATGGTGGCGGTAATTGTTTCACGCTGACGCGCGTGCTGCCTCCGAGCTTTGTTCCCTCCTTCCGAAGCGAAGTCGCCGCTTTGTCGTCTGTACAGAACGTTAAATGACACGCATCGACGCGGGTCGATGTGTAGATAGTGATCGCGCGCCCGGCGAGTCCGAAGCTGTCAGACTTAACTTCGCCCGGACCAACGCGAGCGTGCCATTCGCTATGCTCACGAACGAGATGCGATCAAATAGCACCTGTCATAATGTCGAATCTTTGAACGTTACACGCGATTCCAGAACGATCGTTGTTAACGCCGATAAAATCCTATACCTTGGCAAATTTCGTATCGCACCACCGGTGCACCGATGGTCCTGCACGTTGCACTTTTCATTCAAATTGTCTAATTTTTAAGTATTAGTCATCACACATGATATATCATCGATATGTACGCGGCCCGAATGAACAGTCATGCAAAAACGTCGCGGCACGGAGCGTATAAGCCAGCTGGGCTGAGTCGTGGGTATTTTCTGCGGCTCTAAAAAGCCTAAAATGGAAC